GAAGGGAGAGAAATAGAAATGGGAAACATTAAAAAGAAATGCCACCTAAATTAAAAATATTTATAAAGATATTAAAAATTGACAAGTCATCAAAACATTGTCAACCGACTAATGTCGGTCAGGATTCCATTAGTGACACTAACGAAAGTTTGACTCCAAGGACCTATTAGAACTATTTTCTAAAAGTTAGGGACTAAACTGTCGCTTTTGAAACTTAGGGACCAAATGGAAACTTATGCTCAAACTCAAGAACTAAAAGTGTATTTTACCCTTAAAACAATTCGACACACTCGTTAAAAGGCCCTCCATTAATAACAAGGGCAACTACCAGACCACATTCTCCAAAGTATACAATAATGTAATTATTCCTATGTGATTTTAAAATGTGCATTATCCTTCTAGAAAACATACATTATACTGGATACGTTACAAGGCAATAGCCTCTATTTGCTTCTTTCATACAGCTCGACAACTCATAGTCACCAAAAAAAATTCCATGAAATATGCATGAGAAACAAGCATATAAAGGAGGAAAACGTACCGAATGTGTTATATTCTCAAGAGAATCAACAATGCAGTGTGCAATAGTCATAACTTGGATAAATACACCACTTGTCTCCAGCATGTGGATGAGGAGTAAAYTGGATGAGAAAATTGCAACATAAAATATCAGTATTTAAAGAGTTCTGGGAGTGTGTCAACGAGTTAAAAGGTGGCCACCTTAATGCGATATGCAATAAGGTCATACATATTAAAATTATCACTCTGCATGTCTTGCTTCATTCTAAGAGTTGCCTTGCCGTCCTCAATAAGACCTTGCTTCATTTCGTCAAACAATTTCAATGATTCARCTACAGGCCTATCCCTCCAGGGACTATTCATCTTTTTTTCTCTGTACTCCTTTATTTCTTCAGGAGTCTAAAAAAATAATTGAAAATGTACTTTGCGTCATACRGATGCAAAAATTAACAAGGATTACAAAAGTATAGAACTAATTAATTTAAAAAAACAAAGCCAAAAAAAAAGGTAACAGATAAAGTCATGGAAATAATCAATGGATCATAGAGGCCCAACAAATGGCATTTCAAAAGCAGCCAAACAGCCCCACTATGAATTACAAACATATAAAAAGTACCATATTTTACATAATGACCTGGTGATCGACATAAGCTTGACCCGTAATTATGAGCTTCACAGCCAATTCATACAGATCTTGGAAATAATYACTAGTATAGGTGATCTGGAGAAAACAACACCACACCAMATGGTTTAGGGGTTAAAACAGATAGTTAAGCAAAGTACACTAAAATTACACCTTGAAAGGCTCCCAGCCCATCCACTTGACAATTTCTTCTATATGATCAATATATTCCTTYTTCTCAGCTTCAGGGTTYGTGTCATCATACCTACAAGCACACGTTTTGAAATAACAGTAAAAATAAAGGTGGCCAGCTATATTATWCAAACTGTCGTGAAGTTGATTRGCAAYGGTTACAAACTTGAACCCARCCAAGATTTAATATGGAAGAATTTAAACATAGTTACAAATSGAATGGATAAACAGAGATTGTAAGAAAATAAAAGAAGGGAAATTTAACCTTAAATAGCAGCTTCCACCTCGCTCTCTTGCCAGGCCAAAATCCACAAACATTGCCTGACCAATCATAATGATAACAMGAAGTGCAGGGAAACTTCTGGTAAGAGACGAGATGTCATTGAAATTAAAAAGTAAAAAAAAATTTTAAATAGCTGATCACTACCTTGGCATGACCAATGTGGAGATAACCATTTGGTTCAGGTGGAAATCGAGTCAAAACTCTTCCTCCCGTTGCTTTTAGGTGTTTTTCAAGCAGCTCTTTGGTGTTGCAACATCTTAGGATAGTTCCATTACTGAAAAATACCTCCGTGTGAACCTTTCAATTTTCAAACATATAAACTTGTGTTAAATATTGTATTAGTTGACAGAAAGTACTTCATTACCACTATCTACTAGTTTAATGCATCCAATCTCTTTCGTAGAGAGAGAACAGCTGAAATGTATCTAAGTGAGAAGTATGGGGAAATATTTAGAAAAGGAAGAGACACAATCCATTATAAGCAACTAAATACCATTTTGAAAATTATTTTGAAAATCATTAAAGACAGCTCATGGCCCCTGGAGAGACATTCACAAGCATCGGCACATTATCTTCGATCATATCTCCTCACAGGTACGAAACAGGACATCTACATCATTCTAGATCGGTCCATGGATTCTTGGTTCCCCCTTGGCTATGCATTTCCCTCATCTCCCTGCTTTATCCAAATTCAAGGAGGCATCAGTTTCTAATTTATGGAATACAGAGTGGTTTTTGGGACTTGGGGTTCCGGCCTCATCTCAAGGATGTAGAGATTGTTGAATGGGCCTCTCTATCCAATCATTTTGCTTCCATCCACCTTATTTGTGCCAATGACTCATGGATTTGGCCCCTAGACAGTCACGGCCTTTACACCACCAAAACACTCCTTAATGATTTGGCCTTAAAGGAGTGTTACATCCATCTCTAGCGAAGGTCATTTGGGGCGATCATTACCCAAAGAAGATAAAATTCTTCATTTGGTAACTTACCCACCGCACCATAAACATCCACGATAGACTGCAGCGTCGGCTCCCCTACTACACATTGTCTCCTCATTGGTGTGTCCTTTGTAAAGAAGACAGGGAATCTCCACATCACATCACGTCTTCCACACCTGCTCCTTTGCAACTATGTTTTGGGACAAGATCCTCGCATCTTTCGATTGGACAGTGGCTCTCCCTTATGACATCAAGACCTTACTCTTTTTGTTTTTGTGGGCCACCCATTCAAGAAAGAAACAGAGGTCCTTTGGAAACACATTATTCAAGCTTTTTTATGGATCACATGAAATGAATGAAATCATAGGATCTTTGCAGATAAGGACCTCCCCTCTTTCATTTTTCTCGCTATGTCTTGGCGTAAAAATTCTCCCCTCTTTCATCATTATAACATTACCACAATTTTTACCAATGGGAGAAGTTTCTTGTAACCCTTTCCTTTATGGATGCTTTACCATCCCTCTTTTGTAATTTTACCCATCAATGAAATTGTTTCTTAACAAAAAAATATATATACATTTTACCTTATAATTATCTTGTGGCTGAGAGAATATTAAATATGTTCCGGTGAAATAGTGGCAACAGTTTTCACCTGCATAAGTGTAGTTACAACAAATAAGGTACCTAAACCCTAAACCCTAAAACCCTAAAACCCTAAACCCGAAACCCCTAAACCCAAACCCCCAAAACCCCAAACCCCAAACCCTAAAAAGTCCATGACATGGTGATGGAGAGGAGACCGAGAAAGACCATAAACATGAAACGATCTATGTTCCATGCCAGTTTACAATGCCAACTCGAAACTCCGAACCCCGAGCCCTCAACTCTGAACCTCGAACCCCAAACCCCAAACCCGTAACTCCTAAACCCTTAAATCCCAGAACCCCAAAACCCTAAACCGCTAATCCTAAAACCCTAAAAAAATATCTTGGGTTTCTATATATTTTTTTAAATAACTATCAGTAGGTAAAAGTTTTCTTCTTTCAAATTGATTCTTCAGAATTTTTTTCTATATTAGATTTTCATTTTTCAAATTAAAAAGAAATGAGTGAGTTTTTAAGAGATTGATAGAGTATTTTACTCGTTTGAAAAACATGAATATTTTGATAATTTTACCATGGTAAAAATTAAAAGAAAAAAAAATAAGCTAGAGAAGTCACAAGTGTTTCTAGACTATGGGTCAAAAATCCAAACAAAATTATGGAAATAGCAAAAAATCCCAATTTTCCGAGAACATTTGGAATGACGTCAGGTTGCGACAAAGACTACGTGCTGTGTTGAAGATGCTTTGAAGTTAGAGTAGCAAAGCTCGCTGGCAATCGGAAAACAATACTTGAAGCTTTGGGGGAACCAATTTGATTGCTGATCTTTTTCGAATTCCTTTTTAAGCACTGGTTCTAATCGTGGCCCTTTTTATTTCGATTGTTTGTTCGGTAGGGTCTAGGGTTTTGTACTGTCTTTTATACCGTCCGGCTTAGTTTTCTGTCTCAGCTCTCTTATGCAAGCCTTTCTTGTGATGATAGAAAACGTGTTTACCCTCCTATATTTTCCCCCTCTCTTTGATTAAATGTTCTTCGTTCGTTTTTCAATTTTGAGTCTCCAATGAGTGAGTTTTCATGTGGGTTTATTTTCCGATCATTTGTCCATGACCCCAGTTTTAATTTGTTAACTGCTGATTTATTGTTTGCTTGTTGGTGTTTATGTTTTAACTTAGTTAAATAAATATTCTTCTGCCTTCTTGCAGTAATAATGGCAGACGAAGTTCAGAATGACGTGAACGAACAGGTGGCAGATGTGAGTTTTTCTTCTACTTATCTGTTATCTCCAGAAAATATATTTGCATTCAAGTTTTGCAAATATTGCAGATTTTTCCATTTTTTTTCCCTTGCAACTTGTAAGTACTTACCTAAGGGAACCTAAATCTTTGAGTTGTAAATTGGCGGAGCGGAGAGTGTTGAAATTAAGTACTCAGATTTAAAATTAGAAAATGTTGAACCAACTAATGAAGTACACAAAATCCAATAAACAAAAATCCCAAAATAGTCACATTTATATCCAAACATAGCTATAAATCAAGCAGTCAGAAAACCACTCGAATTCATCATCAAAATGTCACAATAATAGCTCTGTTCAGCTTCAGCAATGCCTTTGTAAGGTAATTTGACTGACTCCAAATCTTTCCCAACTAAATAATATACATCTGAAAAAGAGTTTTATAGGTTTGGATTAGGTTATTGCTTATTGTCCTTACGTTATAGCCATCAATGATTAGTCCAGTTTACTTTAGTGGTATGCTAGGAGTCTTATGGTCTTTTTTGTATAACACACGCTACGATGATTTTTCTCTTTGATTTTTACGGGTGYTAAGCATAAAAGTTGCAACTATTTTCTTAATGTGTTTTTATTTATGCAGACCTTTATATTATAGTTATCTATTCATGTGCAAGCATTGGTGCAACACCGTGATGTATACGTATGGTTTATTCTATGCAGATTGCCCCCTTTGATCCAACTAAGAAGAAGAAGAAGAAGAAGGTTGTGCTTCAGGATCCGGCTGATGAGTCTGTTGACAAGTTAGCAGAGAAAACCGAAAGCTTGGCAGGTATGAAAATTTGACCTTGCATGGTTGTTTCATGATATTTTTATTTTGTTGGTGACTTTATTTTGGCCTGCAGTTTCTGAAGGACTTGAGACTACGACCTTTTCTGGACTTAAAAAGAAGAAAAAACCAGTAAGTTTTTATTTTTATTTGGTCTAAATTAAGCTTTATTTGGTGACTTATTTGGTTTGTTCTAATTCTAGGTAGAGGCCAGCTCCTTGAATGACGATGGTGTAGATGGCACGGAGGATTTGGATGGTAAGCAAAGGATTGCATATCTGAACTAATTTATTATGTCTTATCTTTTTCATATTCATTTTCTTATTATGGTTTTTAATTTTAGAATCTCTCTATCTATCTCTACACGATGTTCTTTTTGCTGAGTTAACGGATAGAAAATAAAATCCTTTCGAAGGATTTGGACCCCAACCCTTCGAAAGGTTTTTCTTGTAGCTCTTATTACCATATCTTGAGCTCCTTTTCTTCTTCTCACTCTTCGACCCCTTGGTTCACCTCCAAACCCTTTGAAAGGTTTTTCTAAAATACCGAAGAAGATCAAGTTCTTTGGGTGGCAAGTTTTACTTGAGAAAGTCAATACCTTGGATCGTATCCAAAGGGTTTCCTCCTTTTGTCTGAGTCTGCAGTGGTGCGTTCTCGGTAAGAGTGCCTCAGAAGACCTCGATCACTTGTTGTGGACTTGCCAGTTTGCGCAGGATTTATGGCACCATTTCTTTATGTGTTTTGGTTTGTCTTGGGTCCGTGCTAGGGATTGTAGGGCTATGATGGAGGAGGTGCTCTTATACCCCCCTTTTTGTGATAGGGGTCATTTTTTGTGACAGACTTGTTTTTTGGCTACCTTATGGGGTATTTGGTTGGATAGGAATCATAGACTGTTTAGGGGTGGAGAAGTCTTTAGATTATGTTTGGGATATCATTAGATTTAATACTTCGTTATGAGGCTCCATTTCTAACCCCTTTTGTAATTATCTGCTAGGTCTTATTCTTTTGGATTGGAGTCCTTTTCTTTAGGGGGCTTCCTCCTTCAGGGCTGGTTTTTTGTAGGCCCTTTTTGTTCTTCTTGTACCTATTTTCATTTCTCTCAATGAAAGTGTTGTTTGATAAAAAAAAAAAAATGAATAATTAATATTTTTGAAAGAAAAGAAAAACGTTGATGTCTAGTTTTATGCTATGCAAATGACAGAATTTGTGATTCTTAGTGCTAGTCTTGTAGATTGAAGGTGTATAGTTTCTATGTAAGTGCACTGTGCACATATATTGAACAAAGTTTTTTATTGAAAAAAAGCGTGTATATAATCTGCAATAGGTCTAGGACATACACTTTTGTGTTCAACATCTCTTCTCACCATATTATTCAGTTTCTTCATCTGTAGACATTTTTCTTCAACAAAGTGATTATCATTTCAGATCAAGCGGGGGAGAATGAAGAACGAGAGGGGGTTGTTCTACAATATCGTTTTCCTTGGGAGGGAAGTGATCGCGATTATGAATATGAGGAGGTATTGCTATATTTTAAAATTGTGAGATTTTTTCATATAATCTTCTAATGCAATTTGTTATGAGTTGTGTTTTATTGGAAATTGATTTTTTTTCTACGTTTCTTATTCAGTCATTCTTACAGTTGGTGCGCTGCTACCCTTCCTGTTATTTTGCAGTCAGTCTATTCTAGATTACTACTTAGAACATCTAGGACCCATTGGGCATAAGGGGGGTTTGTTGTTAGGTTGTGCATTTAGAATTTGGGGTGCTTCCAACCATTCAGGTTTGATGTAAGTTGAATAATATGTGCCATTAAGAACAACTGGAATTCTAATGTTAATTATTACAGAGTCTATAATATATACTATATTCTGCTATTTGAGTTATGAAGGTATTAAGGGTAGTATGCTATGTTTGAATGCTTCTCATGGCACATATTATAGTAATCAAATTTAAGGTACATGCAATTCAAATTATTGGCTCTTGCTGTGCAGTCAGCAGTGTAAGCGTCTTTGAGATTTTGTCTTCTATTTTGTATTTCTTTTTTATTTAATGTCTTCAAATAAAACATTTCGACAAATATGGATTGTTTTGGAGGATTTGAATCAATTGGTGTTGCACTCTTTCAAAGGTGTGGAGTTGCTTTAGATATCTCTATGATTGATTACTCAGGTTTGTGAGCTATGTTGTTGTGTTGTGTTCTCCTTTACAAGATAAAAGGCTGTTTATTGTGGAAAAATGTTTTTTTTTTTCCATTCAAACAATATTTATATAACTTTTTACTCAGCTTAAAAAAAATTATGATGTTTTATTCTCGTCACTGTTA